GATTTTGGGTAAAAAAAAAACAGGCATTTACTTCTAGTTTCTGGCAAAAACATATCCATAGCAAACAGTTTCACTTAATAATTGTAGTGATTGTTTAACAATCATGGTGTTCACACAATAACCACTGCAAAAAAAATGGTAGTAAAATCAGATCAATCATTTTACTCATTTTACTATTATTACAACTTATTACCATAATTGCCAGACTCAAATATGATAGTAAGTCAAAGACCACTTATAAATATTTAAAGAATGCCTTGGTGCAATCTAAATCAACTAATAGAACCACCATATTGGGCCTGAATAAATTGAGACTACCATGAGATGGCAGCAAAGAGCTACAGAAAACTCTTCAGTCTGAGGCCATCTACTGGCCATTTAGGTTTTTGCACCAGGACACTCTAACCCTATGTTAGCATTCTAAGTAATGCACCCATAAGAACGTAGAACTCCAAGGCAGGTAGATTCCTCAAAGAACAAATTTACTGGATACATCATATTGGCACAACTGGTGAAAACCGACTCTAAAAGTTCCCACTGTTTTTATGCAGTTAAAAGAGAAAGTTTTCCCCTTTTCCATCAGTCTCATGGTCCAATAGAAGTGCTGGCCAGTTGCTTGGTTACTTCGCTCCTCCTCTCCCAGCCACCTGTTGGAATGACCTTGGTTCCCACAGGAAAACTTTTTGTTTTGACTGTAAAACCCCAGTTAACTATTTCCATCCCGCTTCCATCTATAGTGGCAAACCTGAAACCTCAAAGATGGCCCCAGCCAGGTTCGCTTCAGGGTGGACACCAGGGGTGGATTCTACTTACCTTTACTACCAGTTTGCAACGGGATCGCACATGCGTGCCTTGCTTCGTTCACGCGTGCATGCGCAGATCACTGATGATGACATCTGGATCAGTGGGCGGAGCCTCCCGCTGGTTTTACTACCGGTTCTATAGAACCGGTCCAAACCGGGAGCAACCCACCACTGGTTGACACCCTACATATATTTATCCAAATGCAGATTTCAGTGATTTAGTTTAGTTTAGTTTAGTTTAGTTTTATTAAATTTGTATACCGCCCTACTCCCGAAGGACTCAGGGCGGTGAACAGGCACAAGATAAAATACAGAAATACAAAAGTTAAAAACAATTTAAAACCAAATTAAATAATATTGGCCCACGACAATTAAAATCCCAATAAATTTAAAACAAATTAAAATTTCAATTTAAAATTTAAAATTTAAAAGAAAGGGGAGAAAAATTAGGCCAGGCCGGCTTGCTGGAATAAGAGGGTCTTAAGAGCACGGCGGAAGGTGCGCAGATCCGGGATCCTCCGTATCTCCGGGGGGAGCTCGTTCCAGAGAGTGGATGCCCCCACAGAGAAGGCCCTCCCCCTGGGGGCCGCCAGTCGACACTGCTTGGCTGACGGCACCCGGAGGAGACCCTCTCTATGAGAGCGTACCGGCCGGTGGGAGGCTATTTGTGGTAGTAGGCGGTCCCGTAAATATTTAATGAAACTTCCCCTGCCAGCTAGGGAATTCTGGGAATTAAAGTCCACTCATCTTAAAGTTGCCAAAGTTCAGAATCACTGGCTTATATCAATAGCACACTTTTAAGATTTCTGGAGATTTCTTGTCCTGGCCTACTTATTGTGAGTGACCTCTCTCAGTTTAAGCAATTTCACAGGGTTATTGTGATGGAGATAAAACGAAGACACATTCTCTCTGGAGGAATAAACCACTCCAATGAACCATGCACATTTAACACAATACACGAACGCATTTATCAACATATCTCAGCCCTTTTGTGTCACATATTCCTATCTACGCAGGGTCATGTTCAGGGACGGCTCTGACATTTTTGTACTTTCCTCCAATTCTAGCAAAATTGCTGTTTCAAGGTTTCCAAGCAAGAAAGATGCCCGATAAGACAACGTGGCCTTGGAAAAAGCACTCTCACTCCTGAGGCTCTGATAAACAGAGAGAAAAATAGGCCAGAGATGTCCATGAAGCCTTGAAAATGTCCCACTTGCTCATAGCTAATGTCTGATGGTCAGAATGCAAAACTGTGGTTCCAAAGAGGCAAACATTTTCATCACTTGTCTGGACAAAGACAAGGTAGAAAATCTGGGGAGAACCTTTATGGAGATACTCAGTCGTCCAGGTCATGGTTGACTCGAAGATGCTTTTTCAAGAGGCAACTGGACTTTCTGGTGTTTCGTTGAAGATGTTTAGCTTCTCATCCAAGAAGCTTCTTCAGTTCTGAGCAGAATAGTTGAGCTGTTTTCCCCAACCTGGTCATAAAACGAAATAACATCATTAAGAGCATTTGATCTAGAGTCTATAAAATCATAAACTCAGGGCTGAGAGTCTTGCCTTGACTTCCTTCTCTCTGCCCTTTAGAGTATGTGCAACGCCAGCAAAGATGGATAGAAGTCCCTTCAACCCTTCCTCTGTCCTAGTCCCAGTTCAGCTATCACCAGATGGATGCAAGTCTTATGACTCTGAATGTAAGCACCAGCAATGCTCAGCAGATGCCCAAGACCCTTGTCAAAGTAGGCCACTACTGAAGAAGCTGGAAGCCCAGGTAGGCATCTTGCCTTCAACGCTCAGGTTGATCGAGTACCCCAGAGTGGATCTAACACAGTGTTCCTCAACCTTGGTAATATGAAGATGCATGAACCTCAACTCCCAGGATTTGGGGAGTTGAGGCCCACACATTGTCATGGCTGTAACTCACCTATCCAAGCTGATGACTGAGCTTCTTTGCTAGGTGACTGAGTGGGACGGTTGACACATATCTACAAATTACTGAGGTTAAGAAACAGTGATCTAATGTAGGAGGGAGTTCTCCAAACTTGGCTACTTTAAGACTTGTGGACCACAACATCCAGAATTCCCCAGCCTGTATGACTGGCTGAGGAATTCTGGGAATTGTAGTCCACAAGTCTTAAAGTGGCCAAGTTAGAAGACTCCAGTTATAAAGACTTCTGAAGACCTTAGAGTGTTTTTTTCTCAAAACATTCTCTCCAGGTGAGCAAACCACTTAACTTGCCATAGTTTAAGATTGGATCTATGACGATTCTTTCTCTTATGATCTCATTTTTATTTTTATTTTATTAGTATTACTTTATTTTGTTTTACTTTGTATTCATTTTTGAATACAAGGCCTGAAGGTGTTGCCCATCGATCTCTTGTCTCAAGATCAAGCTGTGAATAATCAGGTCAAGCACAGATCTGGTGTTTCCCTGAGGTGAAGAACCTCATTCAAGTTCTTCCCAAACCAATTGCATATATGTATTAACTAATATTGTGGAGGGCATAAAGCTAATAATATTTAAGGAAGCTAATAATATTTAAAGAAGACTTCTACCTTCAACCATTTCCTCTCTCTTAACTGAAGTCTTCTCCATGTGTTGAAGTTGGGGAGATAACCAAAGACAGACTCTTGTCCTCGTTCAATTCAAGGAGCCCTGATGGTTAGAATGCAGTATTGCAAGCAAACTCTGCCCACAGCCAGGAGTTCAATCCTGACTGATTCAAGGTTGACTCAGCCTTCCATTCTTTCGAGGTGGGTAAAATGAGGACCCACATTGTTGGGGCCAATACGCTGACTCTTTAAACCTCTTAGAGAGGGCTGAAAAGCACTATGAAGCGGTATATAAGTCTAAGTTGCTATTTATATCCCTCTTGAACTGCCACAGAAAAGTGCTACAAATGCAACAAACAGCACATCTGGGGGTTTCTCGAACCATCTCCTTCTAATCTCTCATCCTTTTGGGGCAAGGGCATTGCTAATCAGCACACTCTCCTTTCGGCCATTTCTTCTTCTAGAATAGAGTAGAATAGAATAAAACAGAACAGAACCAGAACAGAACAGAACAGAACAGAACAGAATAGAATAGAATAGAAAATATGGAATGGAATGGAATGGAATGGAATGGAATGGAATGGAATGGAATGGAATGGAATAGAATAGAATAGAATAGAATAGAATAGAATAGAATAGAATAGAATAGAATAGAATAGAATAGAATTCTTTATTGGCCAAGTGTGATTGGACACGCAAGGAACGGAACGGAACGGAACGGAACGGAACAGAACAGAACAGAACAGAACAGAACAGAACAGAACAGAATAGAATAGAATAGAATAGAAAATATGGAATGGAATGGAATGGAATGGAATGGAATGGAATGGAATGGAATGGAATGGAATAGAATAGAATATAATTCTTTATTGGCCAAGTGTGATTGGACACACAAGGAATTTGTCTTTGGTGCATATGCTGTCAGAGTACATAGGAAGAATAAAATACATTCATCAAGAATAAAAAGATACAACACTTAGTGATAGTCAAGGTTACTAATAAGCTATCAATCGTATTAGGAAACAAATAAAAACAATATAATTGAAAGATACAAGCAGCATGATTATAGTAATAAGTGGGAACAGATAGATCCTAGTAAGGAAGAGAAGAATAATAGTAATAAAGTCTTAGTAAATTATTTGAAAGTGCTGCGGGAATTAGTTGTTAAGCAGAATGGTGGCATTCAGGGAAAAACTGTCCTTGTGTCTAGTTGTTTTGATATGCAGTGCCAAAATAACTTGATCTGATCCCCAATTAATCAATTTTGAGTCCTGGAATTTACACCAAATAGACTTGCAAGCAGTTGGAGAGTGGCCAACTCCTGTGTGTATTATTATATGCTTTCATAGCCACACATTGGTGTTGGTGTTTTGCAGGGAAAAAATAAGTGCAGAAAGGGGAAAAAAGAGGTAAGAAAAAGGTGAGTACGGTTTTTGCAGGAAAAGTTTGGTTAGAAAGCTCATATCAGGCCAACTTTCTTCACTGCATGGGAGGAGGAGGGGGAGGGGGAGGGGGAGGAGGAGGAGGAGGACTCCCAGACTCAGAGATTTTTTGCAGAGTATATAAAGCTCTTTTGCTATCACTGACCCTGCACACTCTCCTTAGGCAATAAACTTGGCAGAGACATCAAAAGTTTCCTAACCAGATACTACTGGAAGGTAAGAAGATGTACATTCTTACTTTAATGCAGCTTGAGGTTTAAAATTCTGCAGCTCCCCTTGAAGTCCCAACTGCTTTGAGATAACGGTTTCTTTACCACCCTTACTAGAAAATTGCAAAAAAAAAAAAAAGTTTTTAAAACCAGAGAAACAAAATAGAATTTGGTAAAAAGCGCTTGGTTACCAAAATCTGGAGAGGGGACTCCATCATGGTTTGGCATTGTTGTGGGGTTTTTTTTCCCACTTCTTGGGTCGGTTGTTGGATTTGGTGGGACCGCTGGGTGCCACCCTGCCCATCTTTAATTTTCTGCCCCCGTTCTTGGGACAAGAACAAGCGACTGGTAGGAAGTGATAAGAGGCAGGAAAACAGCTCGGCTGTCAGAGAAGCTGCCGAAAACTGAAATGTTTGCAGCTTTGTTCAATTTGTGTTTCGTCCTCAACTAAGGGCACTGAAAGAATTGTGGGTTTATAAAGAGGAGGGGAAACACTTTCTCAAGAGGTTTAATGGAGACCCTCTTTGGGTTAAAATCAGGGATATATTGTACGCAAAGGTTCTGGGCTAATGTGAAATTATTTCTCATGATTTCTGTTGGGTTTCGGGATGCTTTTGAGATCAAGAACGCACCTGCAGTCAAACTGAGTTTTTTAACTTAAGTACTTGTTCAATGGGGTGGAAATGTAGTACGTTGTGTCTCTTAAGGGTTGCGTTGCTGAAGAGAGATGCTCCATGGATATGAAAGGAATACGGGACAACCTAATAAAAGAGCTGCTTGTCAGAAATTAGCATTTCTGAAACGACAACGGGTGCAGATAAATGCTAAGGAGCTCATCCATGGTGCAGAATTCAGCTTCTTCATTAAACCAAACATTTTGTAAGGAAGTCGAATTATACTCTCCGATTTTCTGAAGGGGAATCAGATAATAAGGGGTGCAATTTTCTTTAAGGACAGGCCAACACAAGGAGGATTGCCAATAATAGCTTTAGATAAATGTTTTTCAACTTTGCTGGCTTTAAGATGGGTGGACTTCAACTCCCAGGATTCCCTAGTCAACTCCCAGAATTCCCCATTCCCCACGCTAGCTAGGGAATTCTGGGAGTGAAAGTCCACCCATCTTAAAGTCAGCAAGGTTTGAAAAACGCTGATATGATATGTTATTTTACCTACCAGCATGATTCAACTACTGGATAGTTTCCGAGCCAAAATTCCTATGCTAGTCCTTGACTTATAACTATTTGTTTAATGACTTTTCAAAGCTATAGCAGAAAAGCTGAAAAAAGAGATGTATGACCCAGGGGTGGGATTCATCTGGTTCGAACTGGTTCAAGCGAACCGGATGCTAATTTTACATCTGGTTCGCCGAACTGGTAGTTGCAAGGGTTAGGGTTAGGGTTAGGGTTAGACCTGCCCACCCTGCCCTGCCCCTCCCAGGAATCTCTGTGTGGCCCGTTTTGGATGCCAGGTAAGTGCAGCGCCGCGCAGAGGCTCTGGAAGGGTGAAAAACAGGCCTCCTGGAACTTCTGGAAATCCAGAAACGGGCCCGTTTCCGGTCTCCGGAGGGCCTCCAGAGCCCAGGGGAGGCTGGTTTCACCCTCCCGGAGGCTCGAGGAAAGACTCCAGAGCTTGGGAAGGGCAAAAACATGTGTCCCCACCACCACCATGGTGCAGGAGGCCGAGTAGGCCACACCCACCATGGCCACGCTTACCCAGCAACTGGGTAGAGAATCGGTTGCTAAAACTTTTGAATCCCACCCCTGCGTATGACCAGTTTTCACTCTTACGATTCTTGCAGCATCCCTATGGTTACATGATCAAAATTCCCCAACTGGTCTGTATTTATGACAATTGCACTGCCCTGGGGTCACGTCAGTGGTAGGTTTCAAATTTTTTTACTACCGGTTCGGTGGGCGTGGCTTGGTGGGTGTGGCAGGGGAAGGTTACTGCAAAATCCCCATTCCCTCCCGATCAGTTGGGACTTGGGAGGCAGAGAATAGATGGGGGCGGGGCCAGTCAGAATTTTTACTACCGGTTCTCCGAACTACTCAAAAGTTCTGCTACCAGTTCTCCAGAACTGGTCAGAAGCTGCTGAAACCCACCTCTGAGTCACACGATCCACCCTTTGTAACCTTCCCAGCTGGCTTCCAACAAGCAAACTTGATAGCGGAAGCCAGCTTTGTTTAATGACTAAATGGTTCACTTAATAACTGCAGGGGTTCACTAAACCACTGTGGCAAGGAAGGTCGTAAAATGGGTCACAACCAGTGGTAGGATTCAGCCAATTCGCACCACTTCGGGAGAACCAGTTGTTACCTTTCTGAGCTGTTTGGCAAAATGGTTGTTGGAAAAAATCATTAGAGCAGAGAATCAGTTGTTAAATTACTTGAATCCTACCACTGGACACAATTCACTTAACAACTGCCTAGCTTAGCATGGAAATTTGGGGCTCGATTGGGATTGTAAATGGAGAACTACCTGTATCTAGTGCCAATCGTTAATAATAATGACAGGTGTTCCTTTCGTCACCTTCCTAAATCAGCTTTTTTTAAAGACATGTATAAGCCAAGAATTGTTTGTCTATATCTTGTGGCAGGGAGTTCCATATGAATATATTTATTTATTTACTTATTAAATGTCTACTACGCCGCCCATCTCACTCTGGAGGGTTCACAGTTCAGTCTGTGCTGTACCTATCAAGATCCCAGCTATTAAATCAGTTACTTTGGCAAAGAGGGAAGGCCTGAGGGATTGCGACATGCTTAATCTCGTTACTAAATGAATCCATTTCCTGGATTGACATAGTATATTGGATCGTAAATCATCAAATGGACTGAGTTTGCATAAGGGGTTAAGCCGCCCAAAAACCCTGAGGTTAATGCTAACTAAACGTTACCAGTTTATCGTCTAGCGTAACATGATGCTGTTAAGTTTCTAACAGGGTTTATGAACTAGTTGTGCAAACAGAACGGTAGAGTTTTGCAAGGAGAAAACGTGACAGGCAAAGGAGAAATTCTATGGAAAGGGATGAGTATGCACCGGTTTCCCTTCCAGCAACTGATAGGCGTGCAAAGGGAAGGGAGTGTGCAAGATATAGTTGTCTTCTCTTTAGAAGTGTATATAGGACAATTTGAGGTTAACAGATTAACAGAGTTGGAAGAGAATTTGTCGGTCGTCTAGTCCAACCCCCAGCCAAGCAGGAGACCCTACACCAGTGAGGGTCATCTTGCCATCGTGTGCCAGGAATGGGGGGGGCACGCACACGTGCCCACACCCATAATTCTATGCATGACAGCCCCCCCACGCTCCCCCTTTTCCTGGCACGTGATGGCATGGTAGGCACGTTTTTTGCTCTCCCCAGCCTCCAGAGCCTTTCTAGGAGTCTGGGGAGGGCAAAAACAGCCTTCCCCACCCCCCTGGAGGCCCTCCAGAGGCATAAAACGGCCCGTTTGCCAACTTCCGGTGAGACCGGAAGGCCCATTTCTTGCTCTCCAGAGCCTTTCTAGGAGTCTGGGGAGGGCGAAAACAGCCTTCCCCACCCACTGGAGGCCCTCCAGAGGCCAAAAACGGCCTGTTTGCCAACTTCCGGTGAGACCAGAAGACCCATTTCTTGCTCTCCAGAGCCTTTCTAGGAGTCTGGGGAAGAGGGGGAAAATGGCCTTCTCCACAACCCCGGAGGCCCTCCAGAGGCCAGAAACGGCCCATTTGCCAACTTCCAGTGGGACCGGAGCTGAGCTTGCGTGCCAACCGATATGGCTACGCATGTTACCTGTGGCACACGTGCCATAGGTTCGCCAACACGGCCCTACACCATTTCTGACTCAACCTGGAAATAAGGAGAAATTTTCTGACAGTGAGGACAATCAACCAATGGAACGGAAGTTGCCTTCAGAAGTTGTGGGAGCTTCATCACTAGAAGCTTTCAAGAAGAGGCTGGACTGCCATCTGACAAAAATGGGGTGGGGTTTCCTGCCTGGGCAGGGGGTTGGAATAGAAGACCTCCAAGGTCCCTTCCAACTCTATTATTCTGTTCTATTCTATTCTATTCTATTCTATTCTATTCTATTCTATTCTATTCTATTCTATTCTATTCTATTCTATTCTATTTTGTATTGTTTTGCTTAACTACTCAGAGACGCTGCTGTAAATTGATTTAAGTATCAGCCTGGAAGAGAGAAAAGGGAAGGGAGCAGAGGTGTCTGCAGGCTGTCACAGATAGTGACTGTAATATTATGATAAAAGCTCTACTTGTTTCTTATGCACGATGCATGTGGAATATGCTGCTAGGTCCAAAGAGATCCCCAGCAGATTTCAAGTTCTGTTCTTCAATATTTCTAGTTGGTTTTCTATCTGACTTACAACAGTGACTGTGCAAAGTTACAACGGCACTGGAAAAAGTGACTTATGACTGTTTTTCACGCTTACGACCAATAAAACATCCAATTCAGTGGTGAAATCCAAATTTTTTTTACTACCGGTTCTGTGGGCGTGGCTTAGTGGGCATGGTGTGGCTTGGTGGGCGTGGCAGGGGAAGGATACTGTAAAATCCCCATTCCCTTCCCCCCCCCCCACTCCCGGGGGAAGGATATTGCAAAATCTCCATTCCCTCCCCACTCCAGGGGAAGGATACTGCAAAATCTCCATTCCCTCCCCACTCCAGGGGAAGGATACTGCAAAATCTCTATTCCCACCCCACTCCAGGGGGAAGGATACTGCAAAATCCCCATTCCCTCCCGACTCCAGGGGGATGGATACTGCAAAATCTCCATTCCCACCCCACTCCAGGGGGAAGGATACTGCAAAATCCCCATTCCCCCCAACTCCAGGGGAAGGATACTGCAAAATCTCCATTCCCACCTCACTCCAGGGGAAGCATACTGCAAAATCCCCATTCCCTCCCCACTCTGGGGCCAGCAGGTGTTTGCCGGTTCTCCAAACTACTCGAAGTTTCCGCTACCGGTCTCCAGAACCTGTCAGATATTCCCCCTGATCCAATTGTCACATGAT